CAGAGACAGTAAGGGACATGGTCCTAAACTGTCCCCCAGTCTTTCCCATCTATGAAATCAAGGTAATTGACATGTATTCTGTGATCTCTTACTTCCACATTGGCTGATCTTTTTAGTGTTGAAAATCGTATGCTATTGCGGAAGCGTAGAATCAAAAATATATCTTATTCGCTTTAATCTTAAAAATCGTTTGAGAATATTCTATGTACTTTAGAATTCAAATCTTTTTTTTTTTTGATTGCTCGACTAGTATAATGTTGTTACACAAGATTAATCAATACCAGGTTTTCCATAGCACAAAAGCCATTCAGCGTTATGTAGGGAGAGAGAAAGAGAGTATGAGAGTTCTACTGTATAGGAAATTTCTTCACCTATCTATTGGTTGTCTTTGAGTTTATGTAGACAACCAATAGATGTCGTGGGAGGGGCATGTATGTTAATGACTTAAAAGACACATCATTTGAGTGTAAAGGACTTCTTTAAGAGTCATGCCCCTTGGGCATTCTTTGATTTGGTTGACCCACCATAGGGGTCCTAGCTTGGGTCCATGACCCAGACTCAGTATCTAACACTTAGTAGACTCTGAGGGTGTGTTTGGTTTAAGCATTAAGAAGAATCAAATTAAATAATACTGTCCATTTCTTACCCATCCATTTGGACCTTGGACTAATTATAGTAATAATGCATCCTCATCTCATATTTGATTCAAGTATTAAGAAGTTGTAGACTCCACATTTATCTCATCTAATATCTTGTTTGGATAGAGTATTGAATGATGATATAAACATTAAATTACTAAAAAAACTCTCAAGATAAAGAGTGATATTTATATCCTAGGGTTACTTGAGGGTACAAATGTCTTTTGGCCAAATAAATCCCAATTGGACTATTTAAACACACCAAAAAGGTGGGTTTATTTAAGAAGTTGTATGTAGTATTAAATATACTATTCATTCAGGCCGGTATTATTTTTAGGTGATAAAACCGGGCCTAAAATTATATCCAAACATGGGTATAAGAGAGATAAGGTGGGCCCAGCGTTATCTTTTCGAATCTCTCTTGCTAATACCTAAAGCAAATACACCCTAAAAATGCACCATGGTTCAAGGTTGAAGTACCAATCATGTTATTAATGTCTTCTATCCTACTCTGATCTTGCACCGATTTAAAAGTCCTTTCTTTTTATACATTTTGAAATCTGGTTCTATTAGGAAACATGGTATGTGAATTTTATCAATAGGGTAAATTCTAGGAATTTGGGTATTATCGATGAAATTTTGTAGTTGTGCTCCACTGTGATTTTAGGCTTTCAAGTCGTCGAACCACATCAGTTTGTGTTATCTATATTTTCATATTTCATTCGATTGTTTGTTGGTGACATTGTTTATAAAGTCATCAATTCAAAGGGTACTAAGTCACATTGATCCCGGAGTGGTAAAAGTGTATCGGATAATACATATAAAATATTAAATATATGGAAGAAGAATTTGGAAATGACGAGAGATTCAGATCATATATATGGTGGTATCATGGAACGGTACTGAATAAAACGCCAATAACAACTACGCTGAATCAACCAGAATGTCTTATAGTTAATAAGTTAAATGATACTTGTGGTTTACATGGACCGTGAATTACTCTCATAATAAAAAATGTCGAGGCAAACATAACTCAGCGGAGTCATATCTAACTCCGTCTGCTTCTTTTAACATTGTCACCTCAGGATCGGACAATTAGGGTTAATGGGGCTATGCACGAGTAGAACCTTTAAAAAAGAAAAAAACAGAGATTGAAAAAGCATATTATTCTGATAAGCTTTGTCTTCACTCATTCAAATGGTAATCCAAGTTCGCCAAACGTGGCATTACAAGCTACACATATTGTGCTTTACTATATCCTAAGTATCTTGAAAAGTTAATCCCTTTATGTCATTCTTCAATGGTCTTCATATATCTATATACCATTAGCTAGCTTCTGATAAACAATGAACCATATCTTCTCTCTCTCTCTCTCTCTCTCTCTCTCTATCTTATCTAGGAGCATGTGAAGAGAGGAGGAGAGCTTTCCAAGGTGTTCCACCATGTTTTGTTTGTTGCTCTTTCATGGGGACTTCTGGCTGGCTGATTACAGATCATGAAACGTGATAGTGTAATGGATCATGTCACTTTTTGCATAGCATTCTCGGTGATCTGCTATACGACCATAATGTAAGCATGTACAAAGGAATTCAGTTAGTCTTGTCGTGCCGGGAATCTGCTCAATCTTCAAGCTGCTATTGTTGGGATTACAACTGGGTCGCTTCGCGTGTCATGTTAAAATTTATTTAATGCATATCTTATTCATATATAATAGTATGTATACTCGGGATTGTTTAGTGTATAAATTGTGTTTCATTAGAGTTGAATTGACCCAATTATTGAACAACCTTAGTGGTTTAACTAATTTATGACTTGAACCCATTAAGATTAAACTTATATTCATTGATTATATGTCGGTTTTGTGTCGACCCAAGAAAGAGCCATATTGGACCCATTAAAAAGGCTGATACCCAAATTGAAATATTTGAACCATGGGCCTATAAAATTGGTACAGCTTCTATACTGTTTGTTGACATTTCCAAAATTGGAGGTGGCCCAAAAAATTAAGACAAAAAGCCTGCTAACCCAAGTGGCCCGTGCTGGTCTTGAACCTGCTACCTAGGCCATTTTGGCTACTTGGAGATTGTTTTACAGTTATTACTAAGACTAGGGTACCGAAATAAGTATTATATTGAAAATTTTAATTATTTAAGATTAATTTTTAATTTTTTAGCGTATGAGTTATAATTATAAAAGACATGACCGATCCTTAAATATTATGACTGATCATAGAAATTACAATTTTTAAAAATAAAGTTATAACCTTCGAAGATGAAGTAACAATAATTAATTATGAAATGATGTAATCGATTATGAATAACTCTAATCAATTTTAAATATATCTTTAAATGGTGTAATTTAATTTTTAAAAATTCTAACTCTATCTTTAAAAACTATAATTTCGATGATCAATCATAATATTTTAAAATTGATCATACCTCTTCTGCAGTTGTAATTTATCCCTAAAAAAACGATATATTTTGATCAAAGTTCTCTCTACCCACATAACTTTTTTCATGGCAACAGATTCTGTAGAGATTTTTTTAGCCACTATGGTCAATGCATGATCAACAAAGTAGTACTAAGGATAGGTGAATTAATGGAAGTTCCACTTCTGACATGACACATGACACAGTTCACCAATAGTGGATGTGTATGGAGCCTCTTAGTTTAGCAATTTAAGCAGTCCTTTTAAAAAGGTATTTTACAATGAAGGTGTAAAACTCATAGTTCTCAAACACTTCACACACACCTCAGCAAATGATGTGGGATTAGGTCACCACAATCGACGTTTATAGTATAATACATTCTCGTGCGGGATCCATTTAGGTGGTCTGCACACCGCAAGATTAATAACTCTGATACTAATTATAACATTTCAAACTTACATTGGCACACCAAGTCCTAAAAGGTAGAGGGGGAATGTGAATCATGTGAGTCAAGCCATCAACTAATAGTCAACAAACAGTTAGATATTAGTTAATAACTAATTAATAGATTAGTTAGAATTAGTTATGACAGTTGTAACTTCACATGAGCAGTATCACTGAATAATATGAATTCTCCAATCACTTTCATCATCCTCTCTCTCTCTCTCTCTCTCTCTCTTATGTACTCTGCTTCTCTGTTTTTCTTCTGTGAGATTGAATGAGAGATGATTCATCACTCATTAGCAAATGCTTAGGAGATGCCTTACGACCCGACCCAACTCCTCTAAGCTGCCTTTAAATCACACACACACACACACACTCTAAAAGGATTTTGACAATAAAGTCTTTTACACTTGTCGGTTTTTAGTACAAAAAAGATAGATACGTATATAGATTACTCCACACATCTGTCAGAAAGTCTTGTTCCTCAACACCACACAATTTTCTGTAAGAGACTCTATCGCACTTACGTCATGATCGAAATTGAGATCCCACCGGTGCTGTGAGTGTTAAAGAATAGGTTTATCTATAACAAACTGCTGTAACTATAGAGACTCAAATCNAAGGATTTTGACAATAAAGTCTTTTACACTTGTCGGTTTTTAGTACAAAAAAGATAAATACGTAGATAGATTACTCCACACATCTGTCAGAAAGTCTTGTCCCTCAGCACCACACAATTTTCTGTAAGAGACTCTATCGCACTTACGTCATGATCGAAATTGAGATCCCATCGGTGCTGTGAGTGTTAAAGAATAGGTTTATCTATAACAAACTGCTATAACTATAGAGACTCAAACCCAAATATTAAGTGAGAAAATTCGAATTCTTACCCACTAGATTAACAACTTGTTGATAACTCAAACGCCTTTAGAAAAGGTGGAAGGTTAACTTTGGAACAAATCACACCTAGTGAATTAGAAAACTTTAATGGGCATAGAAACATGAACAATTCTATTGGAATTTAATGTACTGATCTAATTCACTATAACCTTTGGATTGACTATAGGCTCCATCAAACATTAAAATTTAATGTTCATCCGTAAACATAAAATTAAATTAAATTAAATTTTTACATAAATCACATTATTATATCAATAAATTAAATTAAATTTTTAGATTCAAATAAAATTATTCCGTAAACATCAATGAACTAAGGACATTTACGATCCANATAGAAACATGAACAATTCTATTGGAATTTAATGTACTGATCTAATTCACTATAACTTTTGAATTGACTATAGGCTCCATCAAACATTAAAATTTAATGTTCATCCGTAAACATTAAGTTAAATTTTTAGATTCAAATAAAATTATTCCGTAAACATCAATGAACTAAGGACATTTACGATCGATTATGCCCAATGACCCACGAGACAAGGCTGGGCTTTGATGGTATACTTTACACGGGAGTCGTCTAATCGGATGTATGGTGCAGGTCCACACCAGTGCAGAAAATGATGCTCCAACCAAACATAGGATGCTCTTGCATCGCAAGCATCACGAATTCTGCGTTCACTCTCAAGTACATAGCATATTGAGGTGAAAGATAGCAACTTATTTGTCTGGGATACATCAAATTGTCGAGTTTATGTCCTTTCAATAGACTAGCTACAATATTATACATGGACTTGACTACGGTATGAATAAAAAAATTCAATACTGTNTGCATCGCAAGCATCACGAATTCTGCGTTCACTCTCAAGTACATAGCATATTGAGGTGAAAGATAGCAACTTATTTGTCTGGGATACATCAAATTGTCGAGTTTATGTCCCTTCAATAGACTAGCTACAATATTATACATGGACTTGACTACGGTATGAATAAAAAAATTCAATACTGTATATTTAAAATTTATTATTTTTGTGAATATTTTTACAATAACTTTTGTGAGTAATTTATTACTGTTGTGGCTATTTTTATTATTTTTGTAGGTATTTTTACTTAGTGTTATGATAATTATTTTTACTATTTTTGTAGGTATAAAAAAAATTACCACTGTTGTGTGTGCTTTATCACTTTGGTGGGTTTTTTTACTATTGTTGCAGTAATTGGTTACGTTCTTACATACACCAATAGAAATAATACCCTGTTTCAATCTTTTAAATTTCATGTGAAATACAAGGGTTTTTAACTGTTTCAATTTCATGATCTATGTAAATCTCNTACCCTGTTTCAATCTTTTAAATTTCATGTGGAATACAAGGGTTTTTAACTGTTTCAATTTCATGGTCTATGTAAATCTCCTAACTGGTTTGTAAGAGAGGTATTCATAAAAAGATACAAAAGAAAAAAAAAAAAAAAGGTTCATTATACAAGGTTTCTTTTGTTACAAAATTTTTAAAAAAAAATTAAATGTATACAGTCTTACCTCCACAATCGAAGATACAATTTCCTTGATTGGGACGTTTAGTTCATAATAAAAAAAAATTAAAAATTATTGAACGGCAAATTCATTCTTCTTTTGGAAGTTAAGAAATTCATTCTTTCATGGGGTTCTAGCTTCTAATATGTATATTTAGAGTACTATTTTAACAAGCTGTATGATTGGTCATAGATACCTTTTCGTCTAAGAGAGTTTGAGGCCTAGTTTGTTTATTGCGACAACGGTACCAAAAAATAAATAAATAAATTTGATACCTCTATATTTTATTACTTTAATGAGTATTTTTATAATTTTTGTAAATTATTTTATAAATAGTAATTGTTTGTGTCTGAAAGCACAAAATAATAAAAAAAATATACAATAAAAAATATATTTATATTTACGCTCAAAATCAAATCAGAAATATAGAAGAGAGATAAAAAAATTTAAACACCAATTGTAGAGGAGATGAGAGTTGGTTGACAACAGTGGTGGTTGTAGGAGATTGTGATAGTTGTGGTGGGTGACAACGGTGATTGTGGTAATGTTAGCCATGGGTGATGACAGTGGTGTTGGTGGGTGTGGGCGATAGTGATGGTTGTTGCCAGCCGTGGTGGTGGGGTGATGATAATGATGATGGACAGTGACGATTTTGGTGGGGAACGACGATGGATATTTTTTGAGCGACAATGTGATAGCTGGTGGCAAATAGCAGTGATGGTAGGTGTGGTGGGATGTAGATGACAGTGGGTGGCGATAGTGGTGGGTGATGAAGGGTAGTGGTGGTTGGTGGTGGTAGGTGTGGTGGGGGTGGGTGATAGTGGTTGGCGACGATAGTGGGCGACAACGAATGATGATGGGCAACAATACGGTGGTGATGGGAAGGCGACAATAGTTGTGAGATGATGGTGATAGTAATAAGAAATATAAGAATAATGATGGGTGGTGACGGTGACGACGATGGTGGTGGTGGGGGTAGAGTCGGCGATAGTGGTAGTGGTGATGGTCATGGGGCGGTGGGGGTGGTGGTGGTGGGACGACAACCGTGTTGGTAGGGTATCCGTAACATTGGTGGTGGTCATGCAATAATAGGAATAGTGGTTGTAGGACGATCGGGGTGGTGGTGGTGGCAGGGCGGTAGGGGTGGTGGCAGGGCGATAGTGGGGTTAGTTGTGGTGGTGGTAATGGGGTGGTGATGTGGTTCAAAATATTACTTTTTTTTTTTTAAAGTAGTTATAAAAAAATTATAAATATAAGAAACAATTTTAAAAAGTCACTTCAAATACACTTTTAGTGGTCTATTTTTCTTATTAATTTTGGGTGTTAATATTAGCCGTCAGATTAATTTTAATGTAAAATTTAAAGAAATTTCAATCGTGAAAAAAAAAAATTATTTTTTTATCTTTTATATAGATAAAAAATTTATTATTTTTATAATAACTATTTTTATTATTTTTGTGATACTTATGATCGATTAATAGGGATGAAAGCAAGACATAATTATGGATCATTCCTTGATTTTGCCCTAATTTTGTGATAGAAAAGATCAATTTGCCATTGATAATTTGTACAACTCCAAGTATAACTCAAGTATTAACAAAGACGAGTTATAATTTAAATATTTTGAATTCGAATTTTGACAACTCTTTAAAACTCGACCATAAAATATTTATTACTCAGGAATATTCTAATCTCGATATAGATTGTCTGTCTTTGACTAGATCATAAAAAAGATTAATCGAGGTGTTTATATTCTACGTTGCATATTGGAAAATTACACCAATAGATCCTATAAGTAGTGCCAAATCAATAGCAATTCTCTTGTGCCAAAGAAACCACTAAAAATGGCGTGTTGATGGGCACTAGGCCATGCCTCGCCATATGTATTATAGAAGCCCCTCCTCCAAAAAAAACTTGAGAGCAGTTTTCACCATTAATGGCTAGCTAGTGATGGATTGAACAGCCGTGGAGGTGGTGTTGGAGGTTCCATGGCTGTTCAATCAGTCAATATCCAATGCTTTTGTGCATTATTCACTCCCAATATTCCGGACTATCGTCATAAAAACAGTACACTGGTTTTTGCAATGAGCTGTGTGCTAATGAGCTGTGCTATGTTTTAACCTAGATTTTGACATTCAGCTCTCTCTCTCTCTCTCTCTCTCTCTATATATATATATATATATATACATATGATAAAAAAGAATATAAATATATAAAGAAGATTATTTTCGNTCTCTCTCTCTCTCTCTCTCTATATATATATATATATATATATATATATACATATGATAAAAAAGAATATAAATATATAAAGAAGATTATTTTGGACTTGATTTTTCGTCCAAATAAGAAAGAGCCATTAAAGTCCCACAAATAAACTAAAAAATAGGTTAATTCAACAGTAATTTTGTAGTAAGGAATTTGTCCTCTCTCTCTCTCACACACACACATTCTCTATAAATACATAAAGTTTAGTTTGGATTTGATTTGTCATCCAAATAAGAAAGAGCTATTAAAGACCCACAAAGAAATATTGAAAATAGGTTAAAAACTGTTAAAAAGGTTTTTTTTTTTGTGTGGGTGTGTGTGTGTTTTGCTTTATTTGCTTTGTTTTTACTGTCATATAGTTTTTCTCCTTTTTATATTTTGGTTTGGTTTTGTATGGCCATAAAAGCATTGTTCTAAAGGCAACCTAACCTACAAAACCAAATACGAAGATAACAAAAGTACTTAGCAAGGCTTCCATACATACATACATCTATATATTTGTATACCACTTATCTGATTTACTGTTGGGTACATCAGCAAACCTCAGACCTACCCACAATAGAGGAACAGCTCCTACCCTAGAAGAGAAGAAGGAGGAGGAAAAGAGGAAGAGCATCAATATAGTACTTCCTATGTTTGTTTGCATATTTATATATTGCAGATAGAGGTTGTTACTTGTTAGATATATTAGATTAAATTAATGGTCTTCTAAGGAAAAAAGCATTGAGGTATCTATAGATTTGGAATATAATAATGGGAAGAGGGAGGGTTGAGCTGAAGAGGATTGAGAACAAGATAAATAGGCAGGTAACATTTGCAAAGAGAAGGAATGGGTTGTTCAAAAAGGCTTATGAGCTCTCTGTGCTCTGTGATGCTGAGGTTGCTCTCATCATCTTCTCCAATCGTGGCAAGCTCTATGAATTTTGCAGCAGCTCTAGGTATGTCACCCCTTTTCTCTAAATATTTAACACATACACAATATAGAGGTGANATGAATTTTGCAGCAGCTCTAGGTATGTCACCCCTTTTCTCTAAATATTTAACACACACAATATAGAGCTGAAAATATATTATGGGTTTCTCTTTATTGCTGTTCATAACCTAAGTGTCTAGTAATTTTTTGTCAGGCATGTNAAATATATTATGGGTTTCTCTTTATTGCTGTTCATAACCTAAGTGTCTAGTAATTTTTTGTCAGGCATGTTTTGAGCCTTGGGTGATGTTCTACAGAGATTGATAGCCTTCATGGGTAGAGATGTTTTGCATTTGGTTTATTATTATCTTTGTTTTTTGATCTGATATTTTATGTTACACAAGAAGATCTGTTTTTTATGTCCCATCTCTTAGCGTCAGATCTGAGTCAGAAGAGATCTATGTTGTTTGTATGGTTACTGGGAATTAATCTTCTGAGTCAACTTTACAATGCTTGTGCACTATTATATAGATATGAAATGTGTTTTGTTATATAGATTTTGGGGGTTAGGATTATGGTAAAGACTGGAGAAGGCTATGTCCAGATCTATGTTTTTTCTACAAATCTTGCTGGCAGCTATAATTTCGTACTTTTATAATCCTCAAGAAACTGGATGTTATAAATAATTTTCTCTTATGGTATTTGATTTGTAAGAATAATTACCCTCTCATGGTTAAACTGTAACATAAGGTTTGATGTGCCACCCCTCTTTTTTCCTGGTATATATATGTATGTCCATGATGCACTGAGAATTTGTTTTCAAGACACACAAACATGAGAAAAAATTATGCCCTTTTGGCTCTTTAGCTGCAGATTTGTGAAAATCTTGAAGAAAGTGTGAACTCACTTACACTTAAGTGTGAATTAGTCCAGTCATACTTGCACTTATTTCCGCATTAAGCTCAGTTCAAACTAATAAAGCTTGACATCGAGCCGAGCTTAACTGCTGAGCTTGGTTCTTGCTCCAACTAGCTTCCACATTGCTTGTGAGCTTCCAAGCTAAACTAGGAGTGATTCCAGTTTCATTTATTAAAAAAAAAAAGGTCAAAAAATAAACTCNAGCTTCCAAGCTAAACTAGGAGTGATTCCTGTTTCATTTATTAAAAAAAAAAAGGTCAAAAAATAAACTCTAAAACTTAATAAGTAATTCTAAACTAATTAATTTCTTAAAAAAATACTTAAAATCCGTATAGTTACTTACAAAATCAAACCCTGAAAATTTTAAGAGAAGAGAGAGACAGCATGTGAAGTGTATATGGTTTAAAGTTATTTGAGATTAGTGTTGGGCCTTTATGGAGTCTAGTTTGTATGTTGATTCGGATGATGACCCAACCCGAAGTAATGTTGCGTGGTTTTTTAATAAAAAATTTTATGAGGCTTGGTCTATGGAGTGAAGGTATGGGCCGATTGTCCTTGAGAAAAATTTTTTTGGCCTGTTTTATAGCCCGGTGCATAGGACATATAGAAAACCGTTACTTTGGTGATTAGAGTTTGATCGATGTGTGTAGTCGCTCTTTGTAATCCTCTCTCTCAATAAAGGAAATTCCTGAAGTTTCGTGGATGTAGACAAATTACTGAACTACGTAAAATTTATGTCTTGCTCTTTCTTGTTTTTTATTACTTTATATTCTTAGTTTGTTTTTCGATTGTGTGTTTGTCTGTGAGTTTAAAGCGTATTAAATCCTAACAATTAGTTTAGGGTTGTTCTTTTTCAAATACAAGTTACATGGGAATAATATTTTTTTTTTTGGGAAAGTAGAGGTTATTTTCCATTCACAGGAGAACGTGTAAGTACATTTTTGAAAAACAAAAGTTAGCAGCAAACTTGGGAGAGGAATTTGAAAAACAAAAACCTATGTAATTGTCCATAGGGGAAAATACCTAAGTAATTTCCCAGCATACCTAATACCTAAGTAATTGTACCCTATTTAATCCAAACAAAATAATCAAAAGGAAAATTCCAGAGGGGTGCTATACCATTGCAAGTACCCCAAATGAATGATCCTTGAAATATGTTAATACATAGGCTCCTTGAAAACAAGATAACAAACAAGTGAACAAGATCAACATTGCATGCATGATTGAGGGAGTTGCCAAGGAATAACTAACCTTTGGTTTCTTGGGGAGTTCTTACACTTGGGAGAAGATATCATGTCCCCAAGATCAAACCATGTTTTGGTTTCATGATTTGAACAATATAGTTCACCAAATTCCTTTAACTCCTGGGATTAGTATTATAGTTCAATAAATGGTGATCAATTTGATTCTTTTTGTTATTTAATTGAGTTTGAATGAGTCAAAATAGAGCAAAGCTTGAGTTGTTGGATCCTTAACAATCCAACCATTGGAGAATTTACGCTTACTTTGCGAGGAGATTGTATGGATATCATGTTAGGTTTCTCAAAAATCATTGACCTATTGTCTGTATTGGAGCTTATTCCACATCGAAATAATAATACCTTCCAAACTAGTATACAAGTCTTATGAGGCTCTCCGCTTATTGACAATTGATTTAGAAATAAATTATTTCACATAGCATCATAGCTGGGCTTCAGGAGGGTTTTGACATTTCTCTCTATTAATCCTGTAATCAATTTATATGTGCTAGAAGTGCACCTTTGTATATATTTGATTCAGTCTTCACATGTACTGTATGTTGTATGGATACTAACAAAATACAGATTCGTATTTGTTTTAATTCCTATAATTTGTAAGTTTCTTTGCTTCTCTTAATTTGTTTAACTCAAAATGTTCTGTTGTATATGTTTTCCAAAAGGTTTGCAAATTTTTTGTGTCATACTTTATGCTTCTTTCAAGATTACAGCAAAACTATACAAAACTCTAATACCATCAGCTTTTGTTATACAAAGCCCTAATGCCAACAGGTTGCATGCATGAATCCTTTCCCCTCGTATATTTGTATTTTCAGCTATATGGTGTCTTTTATTTTCTTCAGTCTTTTATCCTTTGGGAGTCTTTCACCTTGCCTCTAATTTCTTGTAGAAGCCTTCACCTTTTATTTCCATTTTGTCCAGTAATGACTTTATTGGCTGATCACAAACCAGTTTTCTATTAATGCCTTAGTAATCTAATATTGTTTTTGTTTTATCCATTCTTTACTTAAATGCAGCCAACCATATTGGTTGTTGACTTAGTTGTTGTTTGTTAAAATTGAAAATTAAATACTAAGAACCAAGTGTTTAATTTCAAGTAATAAGGATTAAACATATTAATCTGAAAAACAATTTCACATGTATTAAAATCTAAAAACCCAATTGCATCAAGCTATTTGATTACTACAAGGCATGACATAGCGATTCGCATGTCGCTCTTGTTTCTGAAGTAGTTTTAGGCATTTATGTGAAAAGGGCAAGTCTTACTATGCATAGGTATGTGATTTGAGTCTTGACCTAATGGCCTTTAATAAACTGCTTAGACGTGAAAAGTGTAAGGTTGTGTGGAATCTAATAGTACTAGACACCCACCTCAAGTTTGACATGTTTGGTTAAATGATACTATTGTAACTTTGTCAATATTGTTTATACTCCTAACCCTTTAAAATAACGGATCGGGCAAACTCATCTATATCCCTCTCTGTAATTTGCACATTTCACAATGGACAAGGTGCAACTTTGTGCTTGTTTTTCCCTCTTGGAAATTTTGAGGTAAATTTGTGTGCTCTTGTGTGTTATTCTTTTGAATATTTATTTTTTGTTCTTCTCTTATCACATAAGAGATCTTGGGTTAAGGATTTTTTTTTGTTATTAAAAAATGGTTTCATTGATAAAAAAAATCGAATATACAATACAGTTCAAGACATGTCTAGAGGCTTCATGTGGAGTGAAGCATGGTCAACAACAATTAATTGGCTCAGGCGATTCTTGTTGTTTTGGGAGTAGGGTAGGATGTTCTTTTGAGTTTCAAAGGTGAGTTCTCATATGAAGGACTCTTATCCCTGGGAAAGTCCCCAACAACAACTGGATCAATCTTTGTTGGTTGGCTTGCTTTGCTTGGTTGTTGGCTAGGGCAAATCTCGGGGTTGCTTCCCTTGATCTAATATGTCATTCTTTACATATAACTCGTCACACAAAGTCTGTCAAACAAGAAGAGATTGAGATGCTATTGAAGCTTGATTTTGCCTATTTAGGCAGTATAGTGTTAACAAACAGAGAGTTTGAGCTTTTTTTGAAAAGGAAAAGTCACACTAAGAGAGGCATGAGAGAGAGAGGGGGGGGGGGGGACACGAATTGACAGAGAAAAACCATTAGAGAGAGGGAGATATCCTCTGGCGTTGTATGAAAGACAAGGGGAGAGAAGCTTACTCAAGGTCAAATTGGTCAGAAATGATGAGTATTGATTGAATATAAAGTGATTAGAGAAGGCCAATTGACTTAAAAACTTTCTTAGTGAATACTTATTTAAGTGATTGGTTATGTAATAGAAGCTGTTTGTTGGTCAAAGTTCTCAGACTATATGGAAGAAAGAGTGCTTTCTTCACATTTAATTTGCATTATACTACTTGAAACCAGGAAATAGATTAGTGGTGCACATAAACAGAAGAAGAACACAAACCTAGTTCCTTACAAATTCAGTGCATTAGAATCGGGATTTCAATCTAATATTAAACCAAATTGACTATACCAAGAAGATCATCATCTCATCTTGGAATACATCTCTAGTCACTTGTGTAAGGTTTTTGCTTCGAGTACCTTGCTGATCACTGAAATCAAGTTGCTTGGGCTTCCTGATTAGTTCTATTGCTCTTGTAGAAACTTGGTAGGGCATTTTTAAACCTTAGACTTGGCTACAAAGTCCAAGAGTCACTTCTTCTTCCAAGTGCACTATGATGGATTATGTCCCTCATTTCAAAAACAAGTACAGGAAAGTTTAGAGAGAGACACACAAATTAAGATCTTAACCCAAAGAAAAGCATCTCATTGAGAAAAACCGTACTCATGCCATAAGCATAAACAAGTCTCTAACTCTATTATGTCTTTGTTAATGTCTATGAGGAGGGCTAGCTCTTCATCAACCCTCTCCACCCAATTCATCAACCATACCCCTAACCCCTTCTCCATGAGTAAATATTAAGTGTAACGGTAACATTACATCATCATTGACATGTAATATCACAATCTAATAATAAACTTATAAATAGGCAAGGTGAACCATACTGGGATAATTATTAAATGACATTGTAGAGTGGTTACTAGAATATATGAGATTGATCTGCTTATTTGTTATGCAGATGGTGATGCCATGTGACAATGATAACATGGTGTCTTCGTTACACCCAATATTTTTTCCTTCTTCGCCATGGTTGCTTAAGCATTTTCTTCCATCCAAAACTTGGGAAAAAAGAACAAAAAAGTTGCTTTTACTTTCTAAACAGCAAATAAAGTGTCAAAAATTAAACTTGCTTCAGTAATTGAACGCCTATTGTACATTATACAATTTGCTAGACACGTTGAAGTGAATAGCCACTCGTATGTGAAGTCATTAATGTTATTTTGGACATGTGAAGTCATTATTGTTAGGGACATGAACTTAGGTAGATACATGATTCTTGTATCCTCTAAATACCCATCTACTATTGTCATTTATCTCAAGTGGATTGAAATTCGAGGGTATTCCTCTCCTTCGCCAGGTTTCTTCATCGTGTGTTGAGTGTGTTCTCCTTCTTAGATTTCTTACAGAAAGTTCACTATGTACTAAGTTTTATAATCTTCCTTGCTCTAGTATGACCAAGACATTGGAGAAATATCAAAGATGCAGTTATGGTGCACTTGAAACAAACCTACTTACCAGTGATGCACAGGTACCTTCTATCTTCTTCTTTGTTCAGGTTCATATAAAGACATATTTCCGTGAAAGGCTCGAACCAGGCTATTGTTACTGAGCCTCCAACAGAGAGAAGTCTCTCTCTCTCTCTCTACCCCCTACATTTGACTATTGGTTTTAACTAGCTACAACTAGTTGGTGTTGATTGATAAGACCAGTATGATCCTTGTTCTAAAAAGTAACCTATTGCTGCATGTCCACAAGCAGAGCAGCTACCAGGAGTATTTGAAGCTTAAAGGAAAAGTTGAGGTCCTACAACAAACTCAGAGGTAAATTCACCATTTAATTCCATCATTTCGGCATTCAACAGCGGCAGTTTGCAGATTAATATGCTTCTTAATTTCCAAGTGATATTGTTATCACGGACATTGATACGTGGGGATTACTAATTAATTGGAATTCTTCAGGCATTTTCTTGGGGAAGATTTGGGGCAGTTGTGCACAGAGGAGCTTCAGCATCTTGAGCGTCAACTGGAATCATCTTTGAAGCAAATTAGGTCTACGAGGGTATGTAATTATCACGGTAGAAAAATATTTCCCATAGTTATATGATCAGAGTCATGGAAACTGCTGAACTAATGATGTTTTAAGACAACTGATAGTTGAAAACTTGATAAGCTTCTATCATTGTTGGAACTTTGATTTCTTGCTTCAGAGTAGCCTCAAAAAACATTTTGAAAGGGCATTCAACAGAGGACAGTGGACACATGTAGCACTCTGGACAATCCCATATGAGTTGGGATTGTCCTGTGTAGCTAATCTTTTTTGGATGGCCAGCCAAAGGATAAAGCTATATCCGACTTAATTTACTAGCCTAATTTATTACCGTCATCAGATTAGTCATATATACCAATATTGAATATGGTTCAATAAATTAGGTCTGACTAAAATTGGTTGATACAAAAGAAGCGTAAAGGCATCTAACTCCACTGTTTTTAAATGTTTTGCAGACACAATATGTGCTTGATCAACTAGCTGATCTTCAACAAAAGGTATGCATGAGGAAATGCATGATCTCATATGAGTTTCTTAGGTGATAATTTTAGTGTAAAAATTTTCATGTTTTTCTAGGAACAAGCACTATTGGAAACTAACAAAGCTTTAAGGAACAAGGTACAAACACCTGAGCTATCTCTCGGTTTTTTTTTTTCATTAAGAATACGAAATTGAGCACAAACATGTATTATGCATTTCCATATATATATATATGCACNCTATCTCTCGGTTTTTTTTTTCATTAAGAATACGAAATTGAGCACAAACATGTATTATGCATTTCCAAATATATATATGCNGAATACGAAATTGAGCACAAACATGTATTATGCATTTCCATATATATATATATGCACACACACACACGTTAACCTGGATAACATATTCAAAATTATTAGAGATACAATAGGATTCACATAGATCCTTCGATATCTAAAGTCCGGATAAGATGTCCCTCTTTTATTTCAGCTTCCTCATACTATAAATTTCTTCGCAAATAGGATTTTGTTATGTATTGATTTGTTTTAAACGAAGTTTCGATTTCTTAGTTAAAATTCAAATTAAAGAATTTAGCTCTTGTGAAATAAAATCTTAACCTTGTCCATATCTCTACTTTATATCATTCCAACAAATTTTGATAGTGCAGATGCAGACATGAATTTTAACACCAAGGTAAGAGAGACAAAAAAACAACGACAAGTTATTAAACAATCATCTATTCTAAAAATTTAAACTATTGGAGAGAGCGTAACTTAATTATTTATACTTTAAACACGCAGACAAAGAGAGAATTATTTCTTCTTGTGGATATAGGAATAACTATTACAACATATATTTTTTACNATTCCAACAAATTTTGATAGTGCAGATGCAGACATGAATTTTAACACCAAGGTAAGGGAGACAAAAAAACGACGACAAGTTATTAAACAATCATCTATTCTAAAAATTTAAATTATTGGAGAGAGCGTAACTTAATTATTTATACTTTAAACACGTAGACAAAGAGAGAATTATTTCTTCTTGTGGATATAGGAATAACTATTACAACATATATTTTTTCCAAAGTGCTATTGCAAAGGGCTTTTGCAACGGCACCTGATGCCAAGTGTAGTGTTCCAAAAAGTGTGTTGCAAAAGTTTTAGCGATGGCAAAACACGGTCGCAAAATCTTTTGAGATTTGTCACGTGGATATAAAAATTTGTCTCTGGCTAATATTGTCGGGATGACACTTAGGGTCGCAAAAAGATATATCGATTCTCAAGTTTTATTTTACTAACAATTAGAAAAATTTTAAATCTTCATAGTTGGAAGAAATTATTACACCTCTGCAATTGTCATGGGAAGCTGGAGTGCCCAGTACACAGTATAGATACCATCCTGCTGAGCCTGGCAGTTTTTTCGAACCTCTAGAAGTGAATAACACACTGCAGATTGGGTATGTTTCACCTCCTTATATGAACAAGTTTGCTTAGCAAGGTAATATTTGTGTGCAAACTGATTTATTATTCCAATGATTCTTGAAATGTAGTTACAATCCTGTGGTAACCGATCAGCTGAACATTGGAACATCAACTCAAAATGCAAATGGAATTGTTCCAGGATGGATGCTTTGATTTTGAGCCTGTAATGTATAATAATATGGTGACAGTAAGGTTTAGATTGTAGATCTCGTTGTGTGTTTGTTCAGAAACTCTCCCTACTTGATGCAGCTTGTTATTTGGAAGGAAGAGACAAATAAAAGAGTGTATTTGACTAGGAGTAAGTCTTTCTGTGGGAAATACCACTGCTTGTACTATTGGAAAACTAAGAACCATGATTAAGGACATGTAATAAAATGAATTACATTGTTGGTGTTGTGTAAAACTAGATTTCTTTCTTTCTATGGATTAATATTATGAGATTTCAATTGATGATTTATCTACTTTTATGGAATACTCTCTTAGTGGTTTTTTTTTTTTTTTTTTGTGTGTGTGGGGAAGTATTTTGTACTTGCCGTTTCTGTAAGGGGCTGCAGATTATCAGAAGTTTAGATAGGTCTTACTAGAAGCCCTATGATGCATTCTTTTTCTCCCTCCTCCTTTGTAGGACTTGTAGAAAATGAGTGGGTTTGATATGACCATAATGCTCTGTTTGATAAGAATGATGAAAAATATGATAGATAAAAGGTAGGAGGGATACACTTTATATCCTCCAAAAAAAAAAGTAAGAAATATACAATTTTCTTCTTTTGTGTTTAGTAAGATTGATGAAAAATAAAAATAATTTTTTTTTGGTGCTTGGTAAGATTGGAAAAATATTTTTTTTTTAATTTTAATTTGTTATTTTTAAAAATTTTTATTTAAAAATTTATTTAAAAAATTTAAATACATATTTTATCATTATATTTATATATGAAATTAATGTATACATTTTAACACAAATAACTAACTTTACATTTACTTTCCTTCCCATTTTGGAGAGATTGATTTTGGTTAGTTTGAAGGAAAGCTCGTCCATTTACTTTTCCATCCTTCTTATTTTTTTTTTCTTACAAAACATGATGTTTTATCTATTCCTCAAACTTTTTTATCCTTCTATTTTTCAATTATACCAAACATAGCATAAAAATGGTGTTTTTTTTTCTAAGTAACATTTATTGGTCGAAAGATAAAACTGACCAAGAAAAGGAAACGACCCTTACAAAGAACAACATGGGGCATACCTAGTAACCATGTCAAACAAAAGATAAAAACAGGCCACGAGAAGCAGTGCATGATAGAACAAAAACAGTTGGTATGCAAATGATAGGTCCCAGGAGATAGGATTTAGAAGGAAGTGGAGGCTTTGAGCCTAAACTTTCATCAAAATCCCTCACCAAAGACCCTTAACAATCAGAGAAACTCTTTCATTCTAAGAGTGGGGTTTTATTAGATAAAGTTTTTTGAGTTAAGAACGGTGATAATCTATGTTTCACACAATTTGACATCGTGATAGAGGACATGACTTGGCGATCATTGGCTTTGATCATGCCACTAGGGATTTGATTAGGACATTGCACAATTATTCAAACATTTTGTTGCATGTCTTCAATATGAATATAGTAATGATCATAGTGGTCCTCTCTAATACCTATCGGTATGCTATGATCAGATTGATCATGAATTAATAAGGTGTTGCTCTTCGTGAATTCCAACATGTCCTTAATTGGGTTAGGTAAGCCCACACTTCACTGTCACTTAAGCTTGGGTCAATTCAGTGGGGAAACCCTATTAGACTTTAGCCATATCCCCGCTACCTCCACCCTACCTTCACCCCCACCACCAACATCACTAGTCGACGTTTGTGCCACCACAATCACTAACGCTACCACTTGTCTTCGCCACCAAACTACTACCCTATCCTCTCCCCTGCCCTTGCAACCACCAACCACCCCCTTTCCCCAACAATCACTACCAAGATTATCACTATTACCCACCACCAAGGTACCAACACCAAGCCCCCGCTCTTCCTCCACCATCATCACTATTTATCATATCATTATTAATATTGTTGTCACTTTCATCATGTTTTTATTAAATAAAAGATATATATATATATTTTTATATATAAATTGTATTATTTTTTAATTGTATTAAAAATATGAGGCTTGACCTAGATATTTGATACCAAGCCTATTTTTTAATCTTATTATTTTTGAAATAAAAAAATTTTACTTAGACTTAAAATATTGACTTGATTTGTTAACTTGATTAATTATAAATATTAAATAGATAATAAATTTTAATAAATATTAAAATTTATAATTAAATTAACAAATAAAATTATCATTTTCTATCCATGCAGCTGATTTTTGAGAAATCCTAACATAACCAAACGAGAATCTCTTAACCTAGCACCGTCGATAGGAATGTGAAAAGACAGACATCAATCTCTAATTTGTCCGTACACTGCTGACAAATTCATACCCACAAGACTCGAACACATGTACAGTACCTCAAACCAATCAGAACTCGACAACGCCTTCTTTGGAAAACAACCTGGTTTACAATACCGCCCATCTCAACCTACGAAAACCACCTATCATTGTCGATGGTGGGATTCACATCCCCTCTCATACATGTACGTGCTTTTCGAGATACCATCACAACTATCTTCACTTCATCAAAGGGAAACAACAAGGAAGCCATTAATTCTCTGAAAATATCTAACTTTCTCTTTCTCTTTCTTTTTCTCTTTCTTCTCTGAAGTGAAGAAATAATTTCAGGGTTTTCCTTTTCTGGATGGTTCTTTCTTTTTTGAGGCTGTGCTTTGGAATTTGGGTTGTTTGGTTGCTGAGAAAATCGAAGGAGAGACAGTGATATGGGGAGAGGAAAGGTATAGATGAAGGGTATAGAGAACAAGATCAACAGACAAATGACATTCTCAAAGAGGAGGGGTTGGTTGTTGAAGAAAGCTCATGAGATCTCTGTGCTGTGCGATGCAGAGGTGGGTTTGATTGCCTTCTCCCATAAAGGAAAGCTTTTTGAGTACTCCTCTTATTCTTGGTACGTTTTTACTCTATGAAACTCTATGCATCTTTGACAGATTTTCACTGTTTTCCATTAGGGTTTTTACTTTCTTTCAATTTTCTGAAAGTTTCTTTTTTCTAGGCATGATCTTTTGATGTCCAAAGAACACTGTTCAACCTCAATATTGCTTTTAATCTTCTTCATTGTTTCATATTTCTCTTTGAGTAGAATCTTTGTCTTTTTTTTGTTTTGTTTTGGGTAAGTAGTAGAAATCTTTGTCAGAAGAGCTTTATGTTGTATTGCTTATTTTCTGGGAAAAAAATATTACTTCTATGAATATGTTGTCTCCAGCTATTCATGCTAGTTTCCAGTTCAGGTAACTGTTAACTGTTATTAGATTTCAATGACATAGTATGGATATTGATATTTAGAGAGTTCTTATTTTATGTCTTGGGAAATTGATCCAAAGTTCCAAAATCAAATAGTAATGTTAATGTTGTGTCATTAGTAGTTGGGTCTGGTTTGAATATTTATAATTATGACAGTTTAGTGAGACTAAATTTGTTTTCTTACATTCAGTATACGCGATGAGATCCTATATTTAGGCTCGACCTAGGTGCAATGAAACCTCTCTTACAAATAATTATAAAGTGCTTATGGATAATGCTCCTATGACTTACTTACATGTGTTTAATGAAAAAAAAAAAAAAAGTCCTGTCGATTCATTTTTATCTGAGTTAAAAGGAGCGTCAAAGTTTAAATCATTATGTAGCATACTAACCTTTTTATTGGAGAATTATTATGATTACTAAATTATTTGTCAAATTTTGTATACTGAATCAATTTAGTTTGTTAGATCATTAGAATCCACTAACTTCTACTAATGTTACTGTGATATAAAAATTTGACCTAATTAATTTGTTAACCTAATGATATGATTTCATTATAACCAATAGATTAATTTCAAGTTCTAATATTTGATGGGGCTTACAATCATCCAATGATTACAGTGAATTAGACCAATAAATTAAATCAATAAATTATGTCACAATTACATTATTTCGTCCACTAAACATAGAATTTTACCACATAATTTGGTACACAATATTTGATAAATAAATTAGGGAAAAACAATGCTATTGGAACTCGCTTGAACCATATTAATTACATTAAGGGAGAATTACACTTAGACTCTATGAAGTTTGTCATTTAATTACTAACCCCTTAATATTTAAAATATTACACATAAACTCTTTGAGATTTGTACACGCGTAACACTTAAATATCGTCAATGTGTGTTAGTGTATCCATTAACAAATTATATCTACACCCTAAAAATTTTTAAGTGTATAATATTTAGATTTCTCAAGTTAAAAATATAATATTTAAAATAAAATACTCAAATCAAATATAATATATCAAATATTTTAAATTTTACAAGCAAAATTCATATTCTATTATGAAATTTATTAAAATAAATATCTAATTTTTTTTAAAAAAAATCATAATTATACTATGTATTGGAACGTAATTTGATCACAATTAATGTTAGAAGATATTGTGTCCATTAAAGTTTGACCTCTTATTTATTTATTTTTGTTCAAATAGATTGTATAATTGTATACTAATTGTAATTTTTTTTAAAAAAAAATTATATATATTTTTTGATTTTATTTTAATAATTGACATAATAGAACATGAATTTTGATTGTAAAATTCATGCTCTATTATGAATGACTTAGACCCCTTGTTTAATTTTTTAGTTTTATTTCAATAGATTGTATAATTGTATTCTAATTACAATTTTTTTTAAAAAAAATGAATTTTTACTTTTGAATTTATTTCAATAAATAATATAATAGAACATAAATTTTGATCGTAAAATTTAAAATATTTTATATTATATCTTAGATTTGAATATTTGTAATCTAAATATAATATTTTAAACTAGAGGGGTCTTAATATTATATGCTTACAAATTTCAAAGGGTCTGAGTGTAATTTATAAACGGATATATTAACTAATATTGACGATATGAGTCTAAATTTTACGCGCGTATAAATATCAGAGGTGTGTATAATATTTCAAATGTCAATGGTTTTGAGGGATTAAGTGTCAAAACTTCA